CCACCACACCCGGCCTAGGTGTTATTACTATTATGATGGGTCAACAGTACTAAACCAGATCTGTCCCAGGAAAACAGGGATGTACAGTCACCCCAAGTTTAAGGAGTTTTGTTTTGTTGTAAAGTTACAAGTATAGGTTTCTGAGCTCCACTCAGAACTACTGAATCAGAATCTCTACTGTGGGATTTGGGAAGCCTTAGACTGTAAAGTGATATCATTAAAGGCTCTTCCAATTCTAAGTTCTACACTTAATATGGTAATTTTGAATATAAACTGGATATTGAATGATAGGGAATTATTATTAATCCTTTTTTTTTCTTTTTTGAGACAAACTCACTCTGTCGCCCAGGCTGGAGTGTAGTGGCACAATCTTGACTCACTGCAACTTCCACCTCCCAGGTGCAAGCGATTCTCCTGCCTAAGGCTCCTGAGTATCTGGGATTACAGGCATGCGCCACCATGCCTGGATAATTTTTGCATTTTTAGTAGAGACGGGATTTCTCCATGTTGGCCAGGCTGGTCTCAAACTCCTAACCTCAGGTGATCCACCTGCCTCAGCCTCCCAAAGTGCTGGGATTATAGGCACAAGCCACCATGCCTGGCAAATATTATTAATCTTATATATAACAATGATGTGATTATATAGGAGAATGTTCTTATTTTTAGGAAATACACATAGCTGCATTTAGGGGTGATGTGTCATGATATCTGAATCCTCCTTTCAACTGATACAGGGAACACACACATACATACAATCAAACCTGATAGTGGGTATATACATGTCCACTGTACTATTATTTCAATTTTATGTATGCTTGAAATTTATCATAATAAAACATTGAGAAGAAAAGACTGTTAGGGAAAAATATTTGTATTTATAGGTGAGAACACATTATTGTCACAAATACAACTTAAAAGAGCTATGACCAAAAAGATCTCAATTTAAGTAATTACTAAAAAAGAATCAAGCCTGTAATTTCTCTTCTTGGAACTTGGAATTCTTTCTTTCGGTTTTTTTGTTTGTTTTATTTTTATTTTATTTATTTTATTTATTTATTTTTTTGAGACAGAGTCTTGCTCTGTTGCCCAGGCTGGAGTGCAATGGTGCGATCTCGGTTCACTGCAACCTCCACCTCCCTGGTTCAAGAGATTCTCCTGCCTCAGCCTCCTGAGTAGCTGGGATTACAGGTGCCCACTACCATGCCTGGCTAATTTTTTTTTGTATTTTTCGTAGACACAGGGTTTTACCACGTTGACCAGGCTGGTCTCGAACTCCTGACCTCTGGTGGTCCATCCACCTTGGCCTCCCAAAGTGCCGGGATTACAGGCGTGAGCCACTGCACCAGCCGGAATTATTTTTTAAAGAATAAAATTTCAAAGATATTCACTGCAGAATTGCTTAAAATAGTGTTATTTCTGCAATACTCTGAATGTATAACAATAATGGCATGAATTATGGTGCACTGGTACATTCAACGAGGAATTATTACACAGCCACTAAAATAATTAGTATTAGGCATATATTTTAAGACTGGGCAATGTGGTTCACACCTGTAATACCAATACTTTGGAAGGTTGAGGTGGGAAGATTGCAAGACCAGCCTGGACAACATAGTGAGACCCCTGTCTCTACAGAAAAAAAAAAAATTTAAATTTGTCAGGAACAGTGGCAAGTACCTGAAGTCCCAGCCACTGAGGAGGCTAAGATGGGAAGATCACTTAAACCAAGGAGTTCAAGGCTGCAATAAGCTATGATGGTGCCACTGCACTCCAGTCTGGGTGACAGAGCAAGATCTTGTCTCTAAATATAAACAACCAACCAAACATTGACCTATGCTGCTATATAGATGCAAAAAGAATCCAAATCTATATCTATGCTTAACTACATAACATTTGTGGATTCATGTGGATAGAACTGGAAGTTTACATGGAAATGCTACCTATTTGAAAAGCGGTTTTTCCCCTTTATTTCATTTTTTCTTTATTTTGAATTCTGCCAATGATTTTGCGTAATAGTAATGTGTTTTTTTAATGGTATGGGAAGAAATCCTTTATCATGTGACACCATATAACAGCTGCCTAACCACACAATGTAGAAATGAATAAAGATGGCTCAGAAATAGAGTGTACTAGTATTAGTGACTCAACTAGTGACCATTATGACAAATGGAATAAAGTTTTGACTGATTTACAGGAGTTTTAAAATGCATTTTATATTGAGTAGTTATTTGTTTTCTTAAAACAATTATTGTATTGAACTAAAAATAAACTAGGTAATTTGTTCACATAATAAATCTATATTCAAAGACATGCTTACAAATTTTCCACTTAGTCCATTTTTCTGTTCTCAGCATTACTACAAATGCCTCATTCTGTCATCACGTTGAATTCTTTAGCATCTTCTATATCATTTCCAGGGGCATCTCTGGGAAGTAGTGATGCCTATCTTCCCTCAGAAGCAAACTGATAACCCCAATGTACCCACAATTCACACTTATTCCCTTCTCTGAGATGTGCTGCTTTTTGGCACATCAGAAAAAACACACTACTACGATTTGAAAAACTAAGTTCTGGGCCTGGTTAGGTCATAAACTACAGAAACCTTAGGTCATATATCCTTCCCCAGTTTGGGGAAGTTTGTTTCTCCACTACAAAAAAAAAAAATCATATTTCCTTGGTCTTTTGTATTCCTTTACTATTTCATTTATCTTCATGATAACCCTTAAATTTAAGCGAGGCAGCATTATGCTCATTTTATAGAAGAAATTCAATCTCAAAAAGGATATAGTCTCCCAAAGATCCCACAAGTAGTAATATATCAGGCAGAGCTAAACTCACACACTCTTACTCAAGATCCTAGTACTGGTACATGCTGTACTAATAAGTTTGCTAAAATGGATGAAGCAGCAATTTCTCAGGTCCCTTCCAATGATCCTGTTCTCTGCTTCTACTTGCTATTTTTTCTCTCTTCTCTCAACTAGTATTAACATCCGAAACTATGTATAAAATCCCCAAATTTCATTTACCATGGTTTTTTTTATTTAATTATTCTTTAAATTTTTCTAGTTCCATGTTAAATCCAGAGAAATTACTTTTTCGAAAGTTTCCACTATTGCCTCCCTCTCTGAAGGCCATGGGACTTACCTATTTATCAAAGCAGAAATTCCCAACATTTTGTAAACACCACTAATTACTTTTTATAACTGTAAAGGCAATTATTCCATACTTAAAACCAATTCAAAATAAAATAAATCCTCAATACTTCTTATTCCCTGGGGTAGTAATTTTAATTAGATTCTATTGATTCGTTATTTTCTCCTATGTGCCTTTATTTGGGAAATATTGTTAGTCTACCTTACGATTGAGTCTCTTTCCCTAACAAGAAAATGTCAGTCTTAAGAGTCAGGAAAGCTTTTACTTTCACTATCACATATGAAGAATGAACTAAACACCTAACTTGGAAAGGAAAACTTAAATGAGGGATTCAGGACACTTCCCAAGGGGTCTTATGACCAATTTAAAAGTTGGTGTGATGTGTCTAAAATAACAAATTAACTCTTTTACTTAAAATAAAGGTACAGATGTGTTGATAGCCATGGTAACATGTACATATGAAATATGCCTAAACTAAATTAAAACAAAATACAGTCCATGGCAATCTTGAAAATTCAGGGAGCTCAATAAATATTAAGAGTATGCTCTCACAATGAGAGCATGAAACACTTGGTAATTAACATAATATGCAAAAATGAGAAAATATACAGGATGAGGGATGAGGAGTACACATAGGAAATTTTTGTGATTTTCTTCATTTTGATTTTATTGCTTTCTTGTCTTCAGGAGGGAAGATTTTGACTTCAAAAGTAACAAAATATTTAAGAAGGGAATTCACATCTTTCTGTTCTAAATTATATTCTTGCACTCTTTTCTCAGCAGTTCATGTTTCTGGATAAAGTTTATGATTACTGAAAAGTGTCAATGTTTCTACAATGGAAATTTTGCCTTTGGGAATGCTCTTAATATTTATCATATCAAAGTGATGGCCTTTCGGCAATCTGAATTCCTTTGGCTCCTGACGTGTTTCAGTAGTTTCCACCTGCACGGAAGACAGAGGATCTTTGGAATCAACATACACATATTTTAGAAATGACAGCAGCTTGTCATGTTTACGAGCAATCTCTCCCTTAATTTCTTGACAGACTCTAATCCGCTCTGACAGGAGGCTGTAGGTAGAGGGGTGCCTGGGAGCAGGAGAGAGCTTCTTGTTGCCGACTTCCCGTTCGCTCGGTTCTCTTGAAATTCCTATCCCGCGAGTCACCGCAGCCCCCATCTCCTCATAACATGGTGCCCTCGGTTTCACAGTAACGTATTTTTTTAAAAAACCAGTCGTTGTTACCTTAATTTGGTCCCAAGGGTTGTAAAGGTAAGTTTATAATTCGTTGAACAACTAAGTAAGATTTAAGGCAACTCAACTGATAGCATACCTAATTTGGGATATCCATAGAATTGTTTTGTCAGCTACAAATATAACAAGCATTAAGTGTAAACTGTGTTGCTGAAAAGTACTCCAAGTATCTTAGGAACACCCACCGCAACGTGTGGGCTAAATGCACACGTACAATGATAGCAGAAATAATACCTGTCATATAGGACGGGCATGTCAGCCTTTTCTCCGCGAAAGGCTTCTGATCCTAAGCTGTCTCTTACTTTCACCGGAATGAGACGCTTCCGGAGTCCGAAGCAAGGGAGGAGACTGCTCCCTTACCCAGGAGGCTGGAAACTGCTCGCTACGAGCGCAGTTTCTGACGCCCTTTGGCTGAGACCCGCAGCACCTGACGATGTCCCAGTTGCTAGCTTTAGTTGCTAAGGCACCAACCGCTTCGGAGGAAAAGGGTGGCGGTGCAGTCTCTTTTGGAGTCGTAGCGAATCATCTAGAGGTCGAGATAATTGGTTCCGGCAGGAAACAGCTCCTCTAAGAGGGACGGGAAGACGGAAAGAAGCTGAGACTGACGCCTCTGAGCCGCGGAGGATTGTGGGAGGAGGTTGTCTCCAATTTCTCCTCCCCCTCCCGGCCAAGATGTCTGACATGGAGGATGATTTCATGTGCGATGATGAGGAGGACTACGACCTGGTGAGGCGCAGGGAATGGAACTCTGGGGGTGGAGATGTGTCTAGCTTTCGGGGTCCGGTCTGGACCGGCCGCGGCCTCTCCCCGTAGAGCATGTGCCGTTTCCAGCCTCTCTCAGTGCAGTGACAGGACTGGTTTACCTCCTCCCTGTTCCCGCACCGGGCCCGGGCCCTGCTTCTCCAGCATGGGGGAAGGGAGGTCAAAGCAGGCAGCGAAGGGGGTCCCGGGCCTTGCGCTCCGAGTCTGAGCGCCTCTTCGGTTTACACGGATGCCCCGGCCCCAGGCGTTCGGTCTCTGCCTCATGCCTCCCCACGGCGCGAGCCGCCTCGGTGACCATGCTGCGGTGTAGGCCCTGGCTTTGCCCTTTCGGGCTCAGCGTTCGGGCCCCCACTTCTTCACACTTGAACTGAGCGTTCAAATGTGCGAAATGCTGGAAGTCTGAAAACTGGGGGGGTCCTTACTGCTCCCAGGCCTGACCGCGAAACGCAACTTGTGAGTCTCCTGGAGACGTAGCTTAAATAGTCTTGTCCAGGGCCGGTTTTGGTGCGAGGTAAGTGTGTAGTGGAGAGTTCAGAGCAAGGATAACTGAAAAAAAGGTAGTTGAACTACTTTTTCAGTTGTTTATAAAGAAAAGCTGGGGAGGAGGTTTTGCATGTGGTGTTTTTGGGGAACGGGTGTAAGGTAATTGAACCCATAGCTTTTCCCTTAGAAATTTTCCAGTATACAAAGTTTAAAACAGCAACAGCATAGAAATAAACGAATTTATCTGACTGAATGGAGATTTTTAAAGATTCAGAGTTTCATTTATTAATGGATTTACAAGTTTGAATAACGTTTGCTGTTCAAAAACATCGTGTGGAAACTCTGAAAATTATCTTGACCCAGAATCAACGTCAACTTTGCTTTGTTTCTTTATTTTGGGGGTATTTCATATGGTTCTTTTGTGGTGATGCTGCATTATCATAAAGTTACAAAATAGATGTTTTGGGACGTCTGACTCATTTTAAGTGCCAGAGAGTGTCAAAATATTAATACATTGTTTTGAATTAGTCTATAACTTCGTGTGTATTTTCAGTTTTTTGCATTTTAAAATAAGGCACACTTTGCAAAAGGGAGAACGGAAATTCTCGCTATTATCTGAAAGTCATAGTAGAGATTTTTATAATTTTTAAAGTTAAGTGTGGTTTCGCTAATAGTTATGGTTTCTACCTTACATTTTAGTTTGTGCAAGCCAGTTGTAGGCAGTGACTTCAGTTCATTAATATGTGTCTGTCCATTTTTACTTATTACCTGTTTATTCATATTACAGGTGTTTTGTTATTATCAAAATGTTTCTTTTAAATATGCTTGTATTTTTTTAATTGATTCATAGTATTTTGTACATATTTATGGGGGTTACATGCACAGAATATGTAATGATCAAGTCGGTATTTAGTGTATCCATCACCTTGTGTTTTTATCATTTCTGTGTCTTGGGAATATTTAAAGTCATCTCTTCTAGATATTTTGAAATATAAAATACGTTTTAACCATAGTCACCCTCCCCCGCTATCAAACATTAGAACTTATTCCTTCTATCTAACTGTTCGTTTGTACACATTAATCAACTTCTCTTACTTCCCCACTCCTCTTTCCCCCCACACCCTTCCTATCATTCTACTCTCTACCATCATGAAATCAACTTCTTTTGCTCCCACATCTAAGTGAGAACATGTGATAATTGTCTTTCTGCGCCTGGCTTATTTCACTTAACCTAAATCTCCAGATCCACGTTGCTGCAAATTGACAAAATTTCATTCTTTTTTATAGCCAAATAATATTCCATTATGTATATATACCACATTTTCTTCATCCATTTATCCATTGCTGGACACTTAGATTGATTCCCTGTCTTTGCTGTTATGAGTAATGCTGCAGTGAACATGGAGTGCAGGTATCCCTTTAATAGACCTATTTTCTTTCCTTTGGATAAACCCAAGAGTGGATTGCAGGATCTTATGGTAGTTCTACTTCCAGTTTTTGAGAAATCTCCATAATGGCTATACTAATTTACATCTCCATCAACGGTGTAGAAGAGTTCTGTTTTCTCCACTTTCTTGCCAGCATTCTATTATTTTTGGTCTTTTTGATGAATAACCATTCTAATTGTGGTTTTGATTTGCATTTCTTTGATGGTAGTGATATTGAGCTTTTTTTTTTCATGTGTATGTCGGCCACTTGTATGTCTTCTTTATTTATTTACGCATGTGTATATTTTTAGAGATGGGATTTTGCTGTGTTACCCAGGCTGAGCCCAAACTCCTGGGCCCAACCAATCATCCCGCCTCAGCCTCTTAAGTAGCTGAGACTACTGGCACTTGCCACAGTGCCCAGCTGTATGTCATCTCTTGAGAAATTGCATTTGTATTATTAGTTTGTGTTTGTAGATGTTTCTGCTTATCTCCTTCCTAAACATAGTCTGTTGGATACATAACTTATTAGCGCTGTGATTAAGTTGATCATCTTTGAGAATGTAATATAGTAATAGCAGTGAGAATCTTTTTGTCTCGTGAAGTACTTGATTAACTTTTGCAAGATATTTTATTAAACATACAATGTTTTAACTTGGCCATGTTTTCCCAGCCTTTTAGGGCCTACACTACATGAGCAGTATAATGAAGTTGAATATATAATTGCTTTAACTTTTTTTTTTGAAACGGAGTCTCACTCTGCTGCCCAGGCTAGAGAACTCTGGCACAATCTCAGCTCACTGCAACCTCTGCCTCCCAGGTTCGAGCAATTCTCCTGCCTCAGCCTCCTTAGCTGAGATTACAGGCGCCTGCCACTATACCCGGCTAATTTTTTGTGTTTTTATTAGAGGCGGGGTTTTACCATGTTGGTCAGGCTGGTCTTGAACTCCTGACCTCAAGTGATCTGCCCCCGCCCCTCGGCCTTCCAAAGTGCTGGGATTACAGGTGTTAGTCACCACAACCAGCTGTGTCTTAACTTTTTTATGTCTTAAAGTAAGATTTTGCACTACTACATAATAAAATGAAATGTTGGAGTTTTCCGTTGGGTTTTTTGTTTTTCTTCCCCTAGCATTCTATTAAATAACTCTTCCTCCCCCATCTGTCTCTCATCAGGTGTCTAATTGTAAAATTATTTATGATTAATTTACTAACAGTTAAAACTTTTGGTGGCATAAAATTTGTTTAGTAATTTGTTTTTCATTTCCTTAAATCATATATTTAAAAAAAAAAAAGATTAATGAAGGAGGTTACCATTTCATGCTTACCTTTTGCCAAAAGAGTTTTTCTTTTTTTAAAATACTTATTTTGTCTGGGATTTTTTTTTTCCTGTTTGTTAGTATTTTAAAAAATCTGCAGAATTGACTTGCTTTCTCAAGATTTATTTTTATAAAAAATGTATTTTTTTTGGAAAATTGATTATCACCTCGTTTTAGTTAAAGTGTTAACTGAGAGCCATGAGTATTGCTGACCACAGTGATACTCAGCATATCTTTATTGGTCGTCCATTGATATATTTTAACACCCTAAATCACTTTGTTCTTCCCCAATCTGGTAGAAATAGGTAGTTAGGATACCACCTGAAAAATTAACTCTGTTTCTAAAACTGTACTGTTTTTACCCAATAGAGTAAATAATGATTTCTGCCCAAGAAGGATCTAAAATAAAACAAACTTTTTTTTTTTTTTTTTTAAAGAAAGAAATGAATGTAAAAGAAATTCAACATACATGTATGGTCATGTATGTTCTAAGATCTGTTTGATTTTTAGAGGCAGAAGCAGGCATTTCTAAACATAGTAATCTGTGGTAGGCGATGGTGCTAATAAATTACATTTAATGCAATGCTAATTTTACAGGTTTATAGATTATTTGCTGATCCATGATACTAAATAGTAACCATAGTGCCATTCATTAAGTAGGTAAGGCCATTGATAAACTGTTTTAATTCCACAGTCCAATCGTTCTACCATGAAACTTCTAATAATCTTTTTAGAAAGGATTTAAGACAAATAGACTTTATCCCAAAAATTATTCTTCAGTAAGTCCTGTTATATGTAGGGTATTATATATTTGAATATATATATATATGTTTTTTTGAGGTGAAGTTGTGCTCTGTCGCCCAGGCTGTAGTGCAGTGGCGTGATTTCGGCTCACTGCAACCTATGCCTCCCGGATTCAAGTGATTCTCTTGCCTCAGCCTCCTGAATAGCTGGGACCACAGGTGCCCACCACCATGCCCGGCTAATTTTTATATTTTAGTAGAAACAGGGTTTCACTATGTTGGCCAGGCTGATCTCGAACTCCTGACCTCAGGTGATCGACATTCCTCGCCCTCCCAAAGTGCTGAGATTACAGGCGTGAGCCACCATGCCCAGCCTGTATTTGGATATAATTATTTAAATGTATTACAAGGAAAACATTGTCTAAAAGTTAGAATAATTCCACTTGGTTAAATATATGACCAGCTGTGAACCTCATTATATTCCCCTAGTCAAGCTTTTAGTTGGGATTAGGGAATAAATGTTTCCTAGTATTGTTTTTCTTGTCTTAATATATAGCAGTTTTATTTATTTTTTTAACTTTTAGGTTCAAGGGTACGTGTGCAGGTTAGTTATATAGATAAGCTCTTATTACAAGAGTTTATTATACAGATTATTTCATCACCCAGGTACTAAGCCAAGTACCCAATATTTTTTCTGCTCCTTTCCCTCCTCCCACCCTTCACCCTCAAGTAGGCCCTGGTGTCTGTTCCCTTCTTTGTGTTAATGAATTCTCATCATTTAGTTCCCACTTGTAACAGAGAACATGCAGTATTTGGTTTTCTGTTCCTGCATTACTTTGCTAGGGGTAATGGCCTCCAGCTCTACCCATGTTCCCATTATTTTTTATGGTATAGCAGTTTTAATGCTCTGCATTTTTACTACTTTTTCTTTTGTGTGTGTGTGTAGTGGGGAGGAAAATGAATCTTAGCTACAGGATCTCTTACAGACTCTTGTA